ATATGTGATTTCTGGGAATGAACTCTGATAAATATTTTATTCGAAATGCTTTTCAATCTGTGAACCAAGTTACAAATGTGTTTTAGTTATATTAAAAATGAAATTTTTAGTCATGAATTTTGGGATGTTACAAAAACTTAGAGATAATATTGCTAGGTTACGTCAAAGGAAAAGACAGTTGCTAGAAAGGTATTAAATATATGTTGAAAGTTTATATGTGAGTGCATAGTCCCTTTCATGAACATGATTTTAGTACAAGTATTAATGAAGGTATTAAGTTTATGCTGGAAGTTAATATGTGAGTTATATGCTTATTATCTGGAAATATGTGTTATATATATATATATGTGTGTGTGTGTGTGTGTATGTATGTGTATGTGTTATGCAAACCAAACATGGTTCTATACGTGTTAAGATGTATTTACATGATAATAATAATAGATGTATTATAAATGAGAAGATAAATGTATGTTAATACTTAATACTCCGTATTAAATATTACACTAAATTAAGATGGTGTTGTCGAAACAGAGTTAGTATTGAAAGTTGATTATAAGCATTGTAGGCTTGTTTAGTGATGAAATAAGACTTAAAAGATATGCTTAGTCCAATTAAGTTTGGATATTGGGTAGTATCTTATTAAGGATATATGTGTGATTGGAATAGAGAGTAGAAACTCTATCTGAGGAGATTGATGATCGGTGGAGTATGTCCTACGTATAAAAGTACTTTATAAGTACCGAGCCTTTTTCAAAGCTTTGTGTCTTAGGTGCTGCTTGTGCCATAGTATTATTATGTTCTAGGGTACGAGTCTTACTCATACCAAGGTACTATAATGTGCCATAAGTACTATCATGTGAAAAGTCCTTTTTTTACACTATTGTGTGTCGGGGTACGGGAGCTATGGGAGTACTTTATTAGTATTTCCCCATACTTTTATTTTGAAGAGCTTTGGTGTCATCGTTTCTTTTATGAAGTGATCGGATAAGATTCGTGTGTCAACGTTTCCTTTCACTAAGTAATTGAGGGAACTTCGTGGACTGCCTAATAGAGTGTGTCAGTAATAAGACCACTACCAGATATGTTTGATGTTGTATTGCCAGATAGGGTGAGTCTGGGGGTAAAATACCTCACGATGTCAGACCACTACTAGGCACAATTATCTAGATAACCACCTCAGACTTAATTGTCTTGTTATTTTTACGAATGGAGGTTCGTGGTGAAACTAGTTCCATTCCCCTCAGTTGATGTATTTATTGATCCTTGTTTGATGCTAAGGAATTTTTGAACCAGCGTTGTCGGTTTGTTGTTCATATTGATCATTTAGGCTAAATCTTGTAAGATCATTGTATATGATTTATATGTGGGAATCAACGGGATGGGATAAATTATTTTACAGATATGATATATATATATATATATATATATATATATATATATATATATATATATATATATATATATATGTGTGTGTGTGTTAATAATAATAGTTGGATTTGCAGGTTTGAGATATACATTATTATCACATTGTGGGATTGAAATCCCTATGTACTCACCAAGTTTCCCAACATGACTCACTCGGTTTATTGTATCATAGATGACTATATGAAAAATACATTCTGATGAGAGATTCAAGGAGTATTAGGCCACTATTTTAATTACTGTAAGTCTTGTAATATTTCATTATTCTTATGTTTCTGTATTGACGATGACATCCCAATATTTTAACATAAAAATACATTTCTTCGGAAATGCTTTGATAATATCATTATCATGTTTTCTGTGAACAAATTCCGCAATACTATTCCGGCCGTGAAAATAGGGATGTCACAAAGATCATGCAAGACGACTTTCCAACTGACACCATGGTTTAGAAGCTAGATAATGCTCAAATGCTATAGAGTTAACCTAAACTCCAAAGACAAGCAACACACATGATGGAACACCTTGACCATAGTAGAGCAACATGATGCATAAGTGCAACATCATGTTCACTAATGGTCCAACATCCATCATGGTGGCACAACATGGTGTATTTCATGAGCATGATCACCTTCTAAGCATATGTGGATCAACATGGCACATAAAAGAAATCAAGATGGCACATCATGTATCAAGATGGTCCATAATGGCGTAATATCTCCTCCATGACAAAACTTCCTTTTTTGATAGAGCAACGCCATCTTCAAGGCCTAACATCTCATTGACTCAACATCTTCACTTGGCTCAACATCTCCTTGGCTTAACATCACATCGGCGCAACTTTATACATGATGATGCATTATATTATCATTTTGGCATAACATCTCCAAGGATGGCGAAACTTCCTCCTACATGGCACAACATGTTGCTCCAAGTTGCTCCAAGATGCTCCTAATTGCTCTAAATTGCTCTAGGTGCTCCAAGTTGCTCCTAGTTGCTCCAAGCCACTCCAAACCACTCCAAGTTGCTACAAAACCCCTTTTCGAAGATCCGTTCCTTTATCAATTGATTTGTTTCTTTGTCAAATGATCCAAAGCCATCTTAGATGATCCGTTCCTTTGTCACTTGCTCCATGAACCTCAAGTGCTCCAATGTGATCTAAGTGCTCCATAATCCATGAGAATGATCCAAATGATCGAGTCACATTTAACAGGGCAGTGTTTTCTAGCTTGGGGTCGACATGGGTTGTCAGCGGTGTAAGTGATGTTGAGGGAAGTGATGGTTTGAGTGGTGAGAAATAAGAATGTCATTTCAATGGGGTATGGTTTAAGAGATGAAGTGTTAGACCATCACGTATACCCTTGATGAAGAGCATCGTGGTCTATGTTGCTACGAACTTTGGGCGTGCACACTACCCCAACCATTCATGGCCAGGTGTGCTCATGATGTTCCGTGGTGTGTACGACGAAACCAAATGCCCAATCAATGCCTCTTACTCGATTTGGAACTGGAGTAGCCGTTCAAAAGCTAATTTTATAAAAAAAAAAATCAGTTTTTTTAAACAATATTTTTTACCTATAAATACCACGCTGTTAGCCATCATTTCTTACACCATTCTTTTCTTTCTCTGTATACAATATACACACAACGTTTAGACAAGCATAAAAAATAGATCCCAACAAAAATACCCCCTCTAAACTTTATAAATCACAAACCCGATAATACTTTTGCATTACATACAACCCCCCCCCCCCCCCCAACAATTCCCAAACATGGAATCACCTCAATGTGGTTTTGCCAATTTGAATCAAACTAGTTACCCTATCCAACAAACACTATTTTTTAACAACAATTCAATCCACAATCGTCACAACCACCACCTTCACAATCACAACCACCTCATTCGTCGGACTTTGTTTCAGAGACACGGCCTTCACCACCACCACCTCAACCAAAAAAAAAAAAAAAAACCTATGTGATCCACTGCTACCCAAGAAAGGGTGGCATGGACAAAATGTTAGGATCGCTACTAATGCAACCATGCGAACATAGAAGAACAATGAGGTTCCATTTTCTAAAACCAATTGGTGATAGAATGGATTACCCATTGCCTTATATGGTAGCATATAGTTTCTCTTTTTACCGATGTGGGATTGAGTTTGCATCCCAACACAAAAAAAAGAAGAAGAAAAGCTAGTGGAGGTGTGAGTTTCGACTTCCCAAGGCCCAATTGGAGGAGATTATCAAACCTTCAATTGTTTTTGGGAGAAAGTTTGAAGGGTGTTCTATGAGTTAACAAGAAGTCAAAGTCGAAACCTAATCAAATTAGTTCTAAGTGGTGCGATATTCGACTAAAATGCACCGAATTTGAAGGAATTTGCAACAACCTCCAAAATATATGCAAAGGCAGGTCAAATGATTTCAATGTCTTCAAGGCGACCTTGGAACAATTTGAAAAAACAATGCCAACCCGCAAAGTTTTTCCGTATATGAAAGCGTGACTAAAGTTGAAAGACGCTTCAGAATGGATACAACAAATGGAACTTTTCAACAATCGAACAGGCAAACACATCGACATCAACGATAATCACGTTGATCTTGAAAACGAGCAACCTCTTCGTCAGCCCGATGCAAGAAATAAAGCAAAAAAAGCGGCTTCGACGTTTTGGATAGTGTTATATATCATTTTGGAGACAAATTTGATCGATATGTACAAGTTCAAGAGAACAAGGCCGAGATAATGAATCGGGTGGAAAAAAATGATTGAAGCGTAAACGTCATTTCAAGAGGCACAATCGACGCTTCAAACAAAAACCGATATGAAAATCTTGAAAATAAAAAGGGACAACCTCGAAGACGAAGATTTGAAGTTTCTTCCCACAATGGAAGAGTTCATTTGAGCCCGACGTAGGAATAAGGGTAGTTTATTTTAGTTATGTTTGGTATTTTTAGTTTTTTTTTTTATTTTTTTTTATTTTTTTATTTTTTTAATTTTTTTAGTTAATGTAATTTTTTAATGTAATGTGATGTTATTATTTAATAAAAAACTAGTATTTAAAAAATAAATATATGTTTTTAATGTATTTTTGAATTAAATTTAATTAAAAAGTGAGATGGAGTTGTGAGTTTAATGATAGGTATCTCATAGTTAGTAGTAGGAAGTGTAGTGATGATGTAAAATCCACATTAATGATGAGTATAACGGATGGTTGTAAAAGACAATCAAAACGTCCGGTGTAAAAGTTGATATTTTTTATTTTATATTATTAATTAATATAGATGATATGAGTAAAAGAAAAAGGAGAATATTTTTTTGGAAAAAAGTAAAATTATCTGTCATCATCATCATCATCATCATCATCATCATCATCATCATCATCATTATTATTATTATTATTATTATTATTATTATTAAAGGATGATAGTTTTTAGGAATAGTGAACATCCTGATTTTTTGGCAAAAATAACCCATAAGTTTTCATATTTGTAGTTGTTCAGATTTTTTGCACTAAAGTTTGATATATTGGCAATTTGGTCCCTTAAATTATTAATAGTCATATAAAGATAAGAAGATAGGGATGAAGCTGATACGTGTCATCTCCCCCACCGGTTCTGTCTTATCTTCAAACCCCCCACCCCCCACCCGGTTTCTCATCCACTCATTTTCTAGGTTATCTAATCTGATTTCCACCCTTCTATTCTTTGGCTCCACCCATTTCTTTTGTTTTGATCGGCCAAGAGGGAAGACGAACACAACACAGAAGTTAGGGAAAAGAGAAATCGGGGGTAAACCATGGTTTAACCGGTTCATCGATCTTTTGCATCACCGATTGAGAAACGTCAACGCCACCGTCTGAGTTCCTCGGGTTACTTTACTTATGAATTTGGTTAACTTCTTAAATCGCACATCACTTGATGCGACTTCTGGTCATAAATCAGATGAATGTTTATATTGTTTGTTCTGCAACGATTAATTCTTGATTTTAATGATTTTTGTTTGGTCTTCGGGTTATTATCAAAGCTCAATCGGATCAGAAGATGCGAAATGTTGAGGAAAAGTGAGAATCGGAAGAAATTTTAGCAAGTTGGTAAGTATCTAGATCTTTTATGCCCTGTTTCTTCTACCCACAAAATCGTTACCTCCAGATATATTTATATTGTTTGTTCTGCAACCACTGATTCTTGAATCTACAGGTGCCCTTCAGCCTCACCATTTTCTTCACTGTTTCTCTGTAAAAAATCATCGTCTTCATGGGATGCCAATTATTTGGGTCCGGCTAAAACTGTTCGGATCACCGACATCACCTTCCAATTAGGTATCACTGTTCTTAACTACCTTTCTTTCTCCTCTTCATTTCCTAGCATAATAGCATGAAGGTTCTGAATTTCCGATCGATTTGTAAACAGAGGGAAATGGAATCGAAAGATCATTTGAACAAGTTCAAAGTCGGCTCAGTTCCGACGTTGTACTACATACCGACTTCATCTCCGATTCCGATCAAAAACTACTCCTAAATCAGGTATGTAATCTAATAACACATCTTTTGTTTGCTATCTTCTCTCCTTTTTGTTGTTCTTTGGGGTATTCGACAACAGTGTGATTTCTCACATCGAAATTGAGAACAGTGGTGCAGTTGGTTAACTCTTATTCTCAAATTGAAACGAGGTTTTATATTTTGATTTTATAGATTTACACAACTCCGGTTTCAAAATGGAAGTCTCTGAAAAACAGGAGATTGCAAAATTAGGGTATGGCATTGTTGTTATCTACGAACTTGTCAATTTGGAGGTTAAAATATATGTTGGTATTGATGGGATTTTTCTTTTGCTTTCTTGTGATGTTTGTTACAGGAGGGATTGTCCATGAATAAGGTCCTTTGCCTTAAGATTGTAAGCCCTAATCCTTCTCTCTTATCAATATCATTTCGGGATTAAGATATACTATACCTTATTGTCATAAAACTTAAGTATTGAATTTTATATGTAACGATTTCATTTGATTTAATAAGATCAAGTTAACGAGTAATCATAGTTCATCTCTCTCTCTCTCTCTCTCTCTCTCTCTCTCTCTCTCTCTCTTTTCTCTGTGTAGTACCACCATTGTTGACAAAAATTATAGAAAAAATCAAGGAGGAGTTGTGTTTGTTTCCTTCTGTAATCAATCATGTCCTCATCAATGAGTATCTTCCAAATCAAGGCATAATGGTTTGTACTGCGACTAAATCGATAAAAAATATTATTTTGCACTTACCCTTTTTTACTTTCCCATTAATTAACAATTTTTTTGGGTGAAAACATAGCCCCACTAAGATGGGCCCGCATATTTTCCGGTGGTGGCTATTCTTTCATTAGGATCACCTGTTGTCATGGACTTCACTCCTCATTCAACTTTAGCAGACACTACAAGCAACATTCAAGAAACCAGTCATGGGAATTTACAAAACTACCCTCCTTTCTCTATTGCACTGATGCCATGCAGTTTATTGGTATTCAAAGATACAACATACTCAGGTGAGCCTATTTTTAAATGCTTTTCTTAATAGCCTCTGTAATTTCTGTTGTATATTATGGAACCTGATTTGTTCATTTACTTTTCTTTCCAGGTCATGGGTGTACTTGGATACCAGTTATAGAGAATTTTACAGTTCACCATGTCCATCGCTATCACCTCCATGAGACAGACTCAGTTTTATCATCTGTCTTATTGTGTTCTTTTCATTTAAATCTATCTGCTATAAAATTCATGATTTGTAGGATTTAAAGAATTTTAATGGGTTTCAAAACAAGAATATCTCAATTACAAAAAATAGATGGTGGTTAAAGGTATGTATAGTCTCTTAACATAGGATTCATATAAATATGATGTCTTTTGCCCTTATTCAAGTTTTGGGTTTGATGTATAGTTCAAATTCCTCATTTACTGTCTTTCACAAGGTGACTCAGATGGAGCTTACCAGGGTGTTATAAGGCTATTTTTGTCAAATGAAGATGAAATACATCTAACGATGCAAGGTAACACCAACTCCTTCGTCAAGCCCCAACACCTATCTATTTAAAAAAAAACTTCTATTTTTTCCATTTGCTACTTTTTTGTGTTATTAATTTTAGTTGTGTGGTTTGTCTATGTGATGTTTGTTATAACAATTTTGCAAATTTTTTTTTTAAAAAAATGACGACCTTGATTGAACTATTATGTGGGTGTTTGGTAAAATGCTTGAATGGTATTTCAAATATGCACCAGCTTATTGACATACCTGTGAAAATTTATCCATTTTTGTTGATTATAATAGGTAATGGAATTCCTTAGCCATGTCAACAGTAGACTGAAACAACAACAAATTAGTAGGTTTTCCTTTAGAAGTGTTAATGAGGTTGCTGCTTCGGCAGCAATCGAAATAACATGAGCCGTTTGCATCTGGTCAAGCTCTGGTATCACAATCGCTACCACCTTCAATACCAAATGTAGAAAAAGTTATATATTTAATAAATACAAAATAATTGAGGACGAATTTTCAATATTTTATCCTAAATTATAGCCATAAATTTTTACCAACTCTTTAGTGCTTAAACTTTTTAAAAATTCAATTTTATGTGATTGACCACAATGAAGCTTCTCAAAAGCATAATCACGAAATAAGGACTGAAAGTTGATGTTATTATTAAAAAAAATATATTGATAATTATAACATGTTTACTTTTTTACCCGTTCAACTATTTTCATCATTTGTTTCTTAACATTAAACATTACCTGATGTGTATTTGTTTTTTGTTTGTTGACAGATTTGATGACATAATGAAGTATAAACAAACATGGAATACAAGGTGCACATTGACATCAGAAGGAAAAGAGAGCATGAAGGAAGTAATGTAGCTTATGTCTCTTCAATATCACCTTGCAACTGGTGGAAACAGAAACAGAAGCAGAAGCAGAAGCCGAGAATGTGGATGACTCGCCTACATTTTGGATAGCATGTCCTTACTGTTTCTACATGTATAAGTATCAAAGGGTCTATGTTGAGTGCACTATTTAACCGATGGGGAGGGTTAAACCCCAATGTTGAATCCAATTATTGACCACCTGATTGATCAAATAAACAAATAACTGATCAAATAACATTTACAAAGAACAAACAACAGAAAAAAACTGTAGCATTCGACAATGGAAAAAACTTTAGCATCCGACAACGGAAAAAACTGTAGTATCTGACCTCCGCAACGCGGGGGTTCCCCATCTAGTTATTATTAAAGTTGGACCAGGGACTATGTGTGTAATTTCTTCAAATAGTAGGAATAAATGGACCTTATAAAAGTTGTGAAAAAAACTCCAAAACACAATTTTCTTTTCTGGCCTACAGAATACATGTTTCTCGAGCTTTGGCCATAAAAAAGCAAAACACAAACTTAGGTGAACAACTTTCAAATAGGTATAGAAGGAAGAGAGTAAGGAGTTGATCCCGATGCCGTATCTAGCGTCGACTAGAGAACAGAGATATTGTGTTTTATGCAAAACACATTTTCTACTTTTTATTTCTTTAGGCCAAAGTGGCAAGCTTTTTAAGTTTTGATTATTTGTAGGGACATACCAAATATTTGTTACTTTATTTATGATTTATAAGGTAAAGAGTTTATAGTTTCCTTCTTTACAATTTGTATATCTGTCTATAGAAAACTAGAAGTATAAAAAAAAAAAAAAAAAAAAAAAAAAATGGTAGTATGCAATTCAAACAAATGATTGTGGACCACCTAAAATAAATTTAAGAAGTAACAATTCTTCACTTTAATATTTTTGTTTAAACCACTTTACAATATAATCTTTTTTTTACAGGAATTTTTATAAAAATCAATAAATCATGTATTCGAAAATGAATAGCATAACATATAAGGGCACAACTACTGAAACTTGATTAATTTAACATTGGGTTAATGTTATAGTAATCTCATGAATTTTTTACTTCATTTTTATTTGGTCATTAAAATAATTTTTGAGTATAGATTTCTAAAGTTTCATTTGACTTTTACCAAACATGACTTCATCTTATTAGAGCATCTTTGTAGAATGTTTTCATAAAAAAGTTCAAAATGATAAAAAAAAAAAAAAAAAAAAAAAAAAAAAAAAAAAAAAAGTCTTATGTTTATTTGTATAGTTTTTTTGGAACCGGTTTTATTCGTATATTGTATATTTGTAATTGGTTGAAAATTCAAATCGGTTGCAAAGCTATGATATCTAATGTATACAGTGGCAGAACACGAGTATTGCAATTAGGGGGCTGGAGGAGAAAAAAATTAACATAAAACCATATAAACATTTTTTAATTTGTTTCAAAGTAATTATATACAAAATGTTTAAACAAAATAATTAATAAAAAATATTCTTAAATTGTTCATCAAAAATCTAAAGAAACAACTAATGAGAAATATGTATATCTAATTAACAATATTATTGTTTATCAGATTAAATGAACCTAGAAAATTTTCTATACGGAGCAAATTAACTCAAAAAACAAAATATATTTATAGAAATCATATTTTAATACAAAAGTAGTTGTAAAATCCATGTAGTACATGAGTTAATTTTTTTTAAAAGGTTAAATATAAAAATCAAAATATTTGAAAACTTTGAATTTATAAGAAAATAAGAAAAATAAGTTATTATTATTATTATTTTTATCTTTTAAATTTAAACAAATAATTTAACTAAATAAACAAAAGAAACTAATGAGCTTTAATTTAGAAATTTTGAAATTAAAAGGTAACTTTATTAATGAAATTGATATCCATTTATTACTATATTTATTATAATTATTACATTATATACATATATTAAAAGCCATCGTGCCTTGCAACAGTAAACTTTACCCGTTTCAGAATTTAACCGCATTAATTTGTACCCATCTACTCTTTTCGTCCTTCTATAATTCTAGATTTCTATCATCCGTTTTCCCCAATCATATATTCCCACCGCTAACGGTTTTCATATGTGTCTCCATAATCTTTGAACTCATATCCTGCGCATGTTGCAACCAACCACCTTCTCACCACCGCCATCACCAATCGTCATTCACAGCACCACCGCCGCCGACCCATCTCCGGTGCGTCAATTGAAAACCCTTGTGGGCTTCCAATTTCATCCTACTCAGCGCCGACAAATGTAGCTTTTTGGGCTTATATAACCCTCGATTTTTTGTTTCCCACATATTCAACCACATCGGAGAAGCATAATTGATGAAGATTTTCTGGTATCTGATTTTACGTTCATCTGTCTTGCTTCATATGTGACTTTTGGTTTATTTTTGAAACCCCTCTCTATTTTCTAGCCCCCTTCATGTTTATATCGATTAATTTATCCTAATTATATCCCCATATGTTTTATTCTTTTGTTCACAAATACAAAGGATTGGAAGGTAGTATTGACGCTCATGTTTATTTAGTTTCGAATGAAATTTGAATGCATCATGATTTATTCAATTTTTATTTGTCGATCAACTCCATTAGTCAAATAATTGGGATTCATTCAATTTTGCATTAATCATATCATGTAATCAAGTAAGCTTCTCATCTCTGCATACCTTCTTCGTTTTCTCACTTGAGTTAAGGTTTTTTACTATTAAACCAAATTATGTATCTATTTATAATGGTTTCAAAATTTGAAGTTATATAATGGTTTCTATTAAACCAATTTATGTATCAATTTATAATGCTTTCAAATTTTGAAATTATATAATGGTTTGGAGTTGATTTTTCCAGAAAGCGCATACTTTTCCTGTTTTTATACTCAATGTGGTGTTTATCACAAAATAGTCTCCATTTAATGGTAATATATTACCTCGTACAAATATAAATTAAATTTAAACTCGAGTCTTTAAAATATTTTAAATCTTTTTCATTGAATTTGCTTTATTTTGTAATCAATCGTACCAAGAGAAAACCAACTTATGCCTTTTGTTTTTTAATGAAGTTAAAAGATGGTGTTTTAAGTGTATGGAATCTATGCTTTTGCTCAGCAAACATTTAGGATTTGGAATCACTATTTTGTAGATGACTTTATAGAGGAGTTTTAGAATGAAGTAATGAAGTAATGAAATCGAACAATCGAGGGTGAAATTGTTTGGTGGATCATGAGTTTTAGAATTTGAAGAACCTACCTCAATGATAATCTTACTTGAAGATGCAGGTTTATCCAAGTTCAAACACTATATACTTGAAAACGATGGTTGTTTGTTGAAGAGATTACAACAACTCTCGCATTCATGGAAGCACAGATGTTTTGTATGAGATTGTGTGGATGCCATTGTGGACCCTCTCTGTCCGGTACACCAATGAAATGGATAGAAAAAAGTTTTCTTTATGGGTATGCTTTATAATTCTTTTGTTTTAATTAGGATATGATGATGCTATCACTAATTAATTATTTTTTATTAATGTATTTGAATTTCATCATTTGGTGTCTGCTAGGAATTTTTTACATATGTGCATTGGAAGTTACTACAAAAGGAAAGGTAATTCTTCAGTTTCTACAAGTTTAGTGATTTGATAAAGCTTCAACACACGAACACCTGCTAAATTTTGTTGGTTTTGAGTTACAAATTGTGATTTTATCCCTCTACTGATGATTGTTGGTGATAATGTGCAGGGTGGTGCCAAAAAGATGCTAATTTCAACTTCATTAGTTGGTAGTACCATATGTTTCTTGTAGGGGTAAACGAGACTACATACAAGATAGAAAGATGGTAACTTAGTACTTTGTAACCTCGACTCCCTACCTGAAAATAAGAACACTAGGCTCAATGTAAAATTGATGGTAAATTACATCTATACCCTCCTACAAAGTGATTTTTAATACAACGAAACTAATTATGAAATGAATAATGTAATTTACATATCCATGATCGTAATTTTTTATTGGGCTTTATTACCTAATTATTTTCCAGATTAGCTACTTATTGCTACCCCATTACCTATCTTCAGTGGTTTTCTAAACACTTGATAGGACTTACACACATGAGCAGGTAAACTTTCAAATTTTGTTGGTTTTTAGGTGTAAATTTCGTTTGTACCCTTTTATAGCTTTTTGTTGTTCGCAATGTGCAGGTTGTGTGAATATTTTTATTCTTTCAATTTTGTTGTTTTATGGAAACATTTAAAAGAGAAAAAAAAGTTTAAAGCTACCAATTGAAACAACAAAAGTATTGAGGTAAAAGGTATGGCTAATAGTTCTACTCTTATGTTCTATTATAAGTTTTGTTTGTGCATGTTTACTTATATTTTTTTAAATTTATTTGTATTTTGTAGGATCGAGTTGAGCCAGAATAAACTCCACAATCTGAAAGGGGTATTAAGTCACATGCAATTCTTGCCCGACCTATTAATGGAATTGTTATAGAATAGGTTCTTACTTCTACCCAGTTATACTCAAATAATTGCTTCAAAATCTATCAAATTATAACATTGTACTTTTACTTTTTCCCATTAGTGATTCACTTTGCTTTGGAAAATCTCTCAAATTATAGCACTGGACTTTCAATTTTTTGTTTTTTGTATTACAGACACATTGGACTTTGGAACCCGTTATAGTATTAGGCTTTCCGTTCTTATTCTCCCTTATTATTGGGCCATTAGGCTTTGAAAAAACTAGCCAACCATAGCAACGTACTTCCATTTTTTAATATTTAAGTCATTTTTCTTTGAAAAAACTATCTAATTATAGCATTATCTATCCAGTTATAACATTGTACTTCCAACTTTTTTCTTATTAACTCATTGTACTTCGAAAATCTATGACATTGTATTGGTGAAAATTCTTTTGTTTTTAGATGACATTGTCATAATTAGACATATTTATTCGAAGTACAATCCTTTAATAAGATTTGAAAGTAGGTTGCTATGATAAACAAATCAATATAACTATTTTCTCTTGCATTTAACATTTAAACTAATTTTAGCATAGTTGGAGATTCTTTAAAGAAACAACTTTTTTTTTTGTTTTTAAAATTTTATTTTTATATTAACATACCTTTACAATTTCATGTTTACAGGATAATCAAGTTGAGCCTCAGGCAATTAACGAGGTTGAGTTGAGAAGCCAACAACTAATAATCTTTTGCTTTTTAAAAAAAAAAGCAATATGTAATTTATAGAACCTTTTATTAGCATAAAAATGTTAACATAATTTAATTTTCTAGGAAGCACAAGTTGGGGAATCTCATCTATTTTGATAGGTTGGTCTTTCTATTTAATTTAATATTGTGGTTTTTGTTTCAAAAAGAGTTGCGTTGCAATTTTACTCAATATTTTTAAGCTTATTAAAATTGTTGAACCATGTTAAAACAAATAAAACAATGTGTTTGGGGTGTGGGTTATGTAGTCATTAGGACCAAAAGTGTTAAGAAACTTCAAAAGAACTAAATTGTCAGCACAAAACTTAAACTTATAGATAACAAAAAAGAAAAACTCTATACAAAATAAAACAAACGTCATCCAGTACCTTTGTCCCATGCAAGGCATGGTCTCACCTGCTAGTTAGTATATTATATAGTATATTATATGTAATTTAATAAAATAGAAAAACTCATAAAATAACATGTTGAAAAAAATTCAAAATAACCACAAAATGACATGTGATAAATTAAATAAGAGTGTGACATGTAACAAAAAAACTTTTATTTATTAGAATGAGTTGTTAGTTGTGAGACGTGTTAATTTTTTTTTTAAAAAAAAATGGTAAATATAAAAATCAAAATATTTAAAAACTTTGAATTTATAAGAAAATAAGAAAAATAATGAATTATTATTATTAAATTTTTTTTATCTTTTAAATTAAAAAAAATAATTTAAATAAATAAACAAAAAAACCAGTAAACTTTAATTTGAGAATTTTAAAATTAAAATGTATCATTGACCTCTTAAGAGCTCCACCCCTAAATGTATGATAGAAAATAACTTGTTAATTTACAAGTGTTTTAAAAAGCTTGAGTTTGAAAAAACTGTTATTCTGGATGCTCTTAAGTTATATTAAAAGTTAAATTGTGAGTTTATTTTTACAAAATTAAAGTAAAATTATTAGTTTATTAAGTTTTAAGTGATAAAAATAAGTTGTCATCTATTTTTTTTTGGAGACATCTTAAAGAACCTTATAATTTCGAATCATATTGTATTCGGTTTTGGCATTTTTCGAATTCCAAAAGATTTTCAAAATATAACCGATTCAAGCTTCTAATAATGACTTTATTAACATGATATTTTTGAAACTTTAAGGATACACAATAATAATAAAAATGTTTCAATAACCAAATAAAGACAAAGATTAAAATGTATGTTCAACTTAATTAATTTATTTGCTAAAATTGTACAAATCTCTATAATATTATTCATGAATTTACCGAAACACCCCGTGAGACTTCTTTTTCTCACCGGTTCTTTATAAAACACATCTAACGTTATATAAATTTTAGATAAATCTTGGAAACTAGCAAATAGAATTAACATGATTTTTTTTTCTCAAAACATAGATATAAAAACAAAAGCCTATGAATCAAGAACACAAAAATTATATAATTCTAGTGATACATTATAAACGCTTCAATCTTTACACACACCACAGGAAACAACGGCGTAGAGATAATAATAATATGGTTTTATACATGGTACCTTATAAGTATAACAACAATGACACATATCTTTTATCATCTATTATAGCTAAATAATAGTATCACAAATTACAATACCTTATTAATATGGACGTTCTCCAATAACATTTCCAACAGGGTCATAGTTGCAAGTCATAAACACATCACCACTATCACAAACTACCCTAGCACACCCAACCCTTCTCGTTGTTTTCCAAACTATCTGCGTATAATGCCCACATTGTTGCCCAGATGCACACGTATTACTTCCATATCTATAATACTTCTCTTCTCCAGCCCATGTATTCACAGCATCCACCGGAGACCACGAAGATCCACTACCCCAAAAGATATTCTCTCCCAACTTGAAATCATCTTCTGGAAACGAATGCATCAACTCACAATCACCTTTTCTTTGTCCTGCCCACCACTGAGCGTACCTCTGAAGCTGGAAATCCCAAGCTAGCGGGATTTCCCACTTAGCTGCTCGAACTAAGTTTTGAGTAAACAAGAATTGTAATGACTCCATTGTACACCCGATGCAGAGTTGTTTGGAGGTTCTGTATACTGTTTCGTTGTTAGGTTTTTGGTGGAAAGTTGGGGGTGGTGTTGAGGAGTGGGATGAAGTGAGGGAGGTTAAGAGGAGGATGGAGAAGAGAAGTAGAGAAGATGGTGTCATTTTTGGTAGCCGTGGTGGTCGTCGGAGGAGGAGGATGGAGTCCGGGCGGCGGGGGACGATTGGCGAGGGTAGAAGTGAAGTGTTTATATGCTCGTGTAAAAGAGAATGTGAAGTTCGAGAAGATGCGGCTGCAATTGATTGAGAAGGCAGCCTAGCGATCATGCAAAACCATGTGTGTTGTGGGGTACATTCCTCTGTCTTTGTCATATACACACTGAAACACACACACACATACACAAGTTCACAAGTTAGACAATATTTTTATGGTTTATTTTAAAAGAATTTATTAATTTTGTATATCAAAGTAAATATTGTAGTTTTGGCCTTTGGGGAAGAAATATTATTTTTTGACTTCGTGCATGTTATATTCACTTATTTAGTTGAAAAATTACAATGAAACTGGTAAAAATCTAAAGAAAAACATGAATAGTACTTGTAAATTGAAAACGAAAATGTAACATACAAATACAAAATAAAGCTTTTGACATTTTCATTCCAGACATTTTCTTTTTCTAATTCCTATATTTTACTTTTATTATTTATGTATACTTAATTTATTGTAATATATATATAAAAAAAAAATATTTTTAACATAGTATAAAATATGAAAATATCATCGCTACTTTGAAATGATAATAATAATGAATAACATTGATTTTTTTTCACAAAATGTAAAAAATGATTATTTATTATAGTATATTTTATTTAATACTTGTTTAAAATAAAATTATCTTTCTATGTGTTAGTGTAGGACTTCGTTTTCCTTCTTTGTACATTCATGTAATAAAAAAGTTAGTAGTAAGCATAGTGGTTGACGCTTGAGTTGAACTCGATTCCCTTAAACAGATTCACCTTCTGTTCCAAGGATATGACAACCTTAACAGTATATATCTACTTACCTGAAAGAATCGCCGGAAGCAGTGGTACAGAAGAGGAGAAGGAAGAAAAATATTTTTCATTTGTGTGTTGAATGACACGGTGGAGATCTCCTTTTATAGTTGAACATGTAACGGAAACAAATTAATTCGTGATACAGAATTGATTAAGGCATTAAATGACATTAAATATGTAATTAATGCATCTGTTACAAAATTAAAACTATGGACCAAAACTGTTAAGTTTAGCAAAAACGAATGTTGTGCGAGCCTGAGTTTTAGAACTGCATCCGTGGCAGCCCACAAGTTATGCTCATGCACAAGTTCGGTGATTTTGGTATAGTGGGTATTATATGGAGCATTTGTATTTGAATAACTTAGTGGGTATTAATTAATATATTAAAATAGTTTGTTTCGAGTCAATTTAAATTAGACATGTTTGGTTTTTATTGTGAAGAGTTATTAACCATTCAATTTATTTTTATTTAAGACTTTCTTTTTTGTTTTGTCAAATATTTTCAAATATAAAAATAATAATAAATTTTATTAGAAAATGATAAAAGAAGATTTTTAGCTTGATATTTCATGTAAAATGTATAGTTTTATTTTCTTCCTATTGAAATTATTTTTGATAATTATTATTTTCAGATTTGATATAAATGACGTGTATATGTATAATAATGCTTATTACCAATTTATTTAGAAAGTAGAAGTTTTAAATTGAAAAAAAAAAACAATAAATAACTTCGTCTCGATCATTTTCACTTTATATTAATAATCTATATTAATAACTAACTTGTATTTTTTTGTATTTTGTATAATAAAGATAAATATTCTAAGCAATATTTATAGACATGATTTAATTTATTATCCAAATAAAACCAACGGGCCTAACCAATATAGAATAAGAGTGGGTTCTGGCATACCCACACAAAATTAAGGTTACATATATATGGTCTAACACCTCATATGTGCTAGTAGCAAGTCCTTGAGTGCCAGAAGGCCCGGGAAGAAAAGCTTTCAGGTCAGAATCCGAAATCGGGGCATTAGCCCAGTATGCACAACGTACTCTAGAGCACCCCCAACATACTGGTCAGTCAACCCATAATTTCTCTCATGTCTTAATCCATTAAGCTTTAACGTCTAAAACTTAGATCTAAGCTCATAAAAGTGTCTTAAGCCATAAAGTTGCAAACTTTATGCTCTTGCATGCCTTATTAGGACCCTAACCATGAATTAAGTCTTTAATCTTTCTTAAGTGGTCACCAAATCATGCATGGTTGAGTTGTAACCATCAAGATGCGACCCGCTGGACCTTACAATCTACTAAGCCGGTACCAAATCTACTAAGCCAGTCCATCCCCACAATCATGCACACTCCACCCATGGGAATAGGAATCAAGTCTATTGGAAAAGGATACTCCGAAGATCTCCAACTTGCATCCTATGGTATGTATAATATATATTTTTGTTAAATACAAGGAATTAGGGTTGTGATATGATTTATTCCATTCAAAACACGAAATTAGTAGAAAAGGATAAGTTATTGTCTATATCGATTAGACATAATTTTAGATTATCTTAATAATGTAAAACAATATTGTGTGGAACTAAAATAAACAATTTAGTTAAGAATGCATATATAGTTATATTTTGTTATCGTTTGAAGAATTTTGCCTCTCATTCATATTTTGTATATTATTTAGCATACCCTAAAACAAAAAATTGAATATGCCACTGATAATAAAAACTCGAATTGTAACCTTCAATTGAAAATTTGAATTGTGGCCTAGCATTTCCAATTTTGCACGATATAAGGGACACATTTTTTATTTGATATTTTAGATAATGATTTACTAATTTTATTTTACGCATAATATATTTGTAATCTGAATATTTGTCTATCATTTCTACCTAAATAAGGTTAAGTTATAAATTTAATATTATTTTATTGATGGTTACTTATAGTGTAAGCTTAATGGTTTGGATGTCTTAAAAATAATATTATTATATTCAATATATTTTTAGAAATAGTAAGATTTCTTTTATAATTAATATAAATATAATTTTTATAATATTCATAAATATACATTAAGATTATCTTAATAAGAATACCATTTATAAAGATTTTATCTTATCTCTATAATTATTTGTTTGTGTAAAAATTATATATTTATAGTTTTAACAGAATAGTCTTGATTCTTGGGTAAAAAATTCAAATAAGTCTTTGTCTGGTTTCACATGTTTTACATGCTAATATGTTTTTTCTATTAAAAACATTATAATTCTTTTTATAAATTGGATTGAAATATTAAGAATTTTTTAAATATAATCAAACAACTATACACAAATTTTTTGAGAAAGTTCCAATATTTTAATTAAATTTATAAAAAAATGTTTATGTTCTTTTAATAGAAAATAATAGATTACCAGATTAAAATATTTAAAATTGGAAAAAAAAAAAAAAAAATACGATTGATTTGAATTTTTCTACCGAACACTTTGTTGTTAATTTTTTTTTAAAAGATTTTCCTATAAATTAAAAAATAATAATAAGTTGTTTTTTTCTTTTGAAGATTTTCCAACATTTTTTTTGTCCAAACACGTATCAACAACACCATGAAAGGTCTCGCGTGTGATGTGATGATGAATGGGTGGGGGTTAGTTTTTGGTAGTTGAACCCGTGAATTGTGTTGGAAGATGTGACGCGCCTCCATATTTGTTGCTGCAATGTGACTGACGCGTGGCCTTCCAGATATTGTACGCTTGTCTGCTTCTGTCACGGGACTCTACTCCATCCAACAATTTAAACACCAATGATATTTCTAAAAGTCATATGCTTGATCTTTTTAATTCTTTTTTTATTTCTTTCTTTTGACGTAAATGGTTTTTTCATTTCAATTTATGCTCGTGTTTGGTTCTTGAATAATGTCAAATAATATTCGTATTCTTTTTATATTATTTTAGATTTTATTGTGTACTTTTTTATATAAATATTTTTGAAAAAAATTAAGATGAATCTCATTACTTCTCAACTTCGCCACAATAAAACTTTTCCCTTCGTTTTGATTGATCACTGCATTTATCCGTTAGTGTATTATATCGGTACGATAGAGTTTTCTAAATTATTATATATGTTAGATTTTTCTCTCTCTATATGGATTCTTTTGAAGAGGCAATATTAAACTTCAAGTATATCTTACATCATTATCTTCATCATTACTTCTCTCCTCCACTGTAACATCTTGTTATTGATGTATTTCCACTTTTAATAATTGATGTGATAATTAAGTGCATTTTGGTCCTTAGTGGCATTTTTATAATTTTTAGAAGTGGCATGTGTACGTTGGGCGTAACTCGAGGTATGTTGGGCGTAAGTGGCAAGGGTGCAAACTCTAATGTTTAGGGTTCAAACTGTATTTAAACATCATTAACCCCAAGCCTTCTTCCTTTCATCAACCTCCAGCCCCATTTCAACCCCTTTGTAAACCTTAATTCGTTTTTTAGCATTCTTGAGCCATTGGTGTGTGTTTTGGTGTTCATAGAGGAAGAAGAAGGAAAAGAGAACAACTTGGAAGCTTGGAAGAACCTTGGATCTGGAAGTTTTGCACCCTCCTACATCTATGGAAAGTATAAAGTCAATACCTTGAGGCTTATTTGGTTAGATCTAGCTTGTATGATGTTATTATGTGTTTTTGTCCCCAATCAATGATGCTCTTGAGTATGGCATGCTCTAGACTCAAATTGATTGTCCTATCAGATGTTTTGGAGTGCCTAAGGTCATAAAAATGCAATCTTGATTACTAATCTTCTTCCATGCATGTGTTATAATGTCTTAATGAGTTAAGAAGTTAGGGTTTTTGATATTTGGCACTTATTAGCCATTTAATACCATAAAGTTTGAAAACTTATGGTTAAGGATGTTAGTTGAGGACTAGATGTGGAATTTAGATAAAAGAGCTTAAGGATTAAGCTCTTAATAAGAAGGAAAAAGGGTCAGATGCTTACGTTGGGCGTAACCCAGGTACACTGCACGTACGAGGTCAAACCTCACATTTTTTTTGTTAACCCTCGTGTACATTAAGCGTACAAGTTGAGTACGTTAGGCGTACTCAGCTGTGTTGACCAGGTTTGACTTTTTTTTTTGACTTTTTGACATTTTACCCATTTTGTCTAAGTTTGACTTAAAGGTATTTTGGGTATTTTGATTATAAGTTGAGTTTGGTCATGTTCTAGTGAATAGGTGTAACATCCCGATGCTCAGGTACTTCTAAATTCATCTTTATA